AAAACTAAAACTCACTAAAGAAATAAAAAAAAAGTCAATATAGTGGGTGAAAATTAAGAAAAAATAGTAAAAGACTCGGAAATCAAATTAATAAGGAAACAAATATTTTAAAGCCTCTCTAAAGATCCAAAATAATAGCTTCATGAAGATTTGGCTGATATGGTAGTTCTAGATCAAGTACTGGGCACAAAAGCAGCTGCTACATCAACATGTTTCTTTTTTTCTTCTAACTTTTGGTAACCACATTCTGAAATGGTAGAGCACCCTCTCGAACAATCCTGTTTGAAAAATTGAATCCACTAGCTACGAGGAGGTTCAAGTCTTGTTGAACTATAGGATCAAATGAATCCTCCAAGGGATGCATTTCCTCCACAAAGTTACTAGAGGCCGAATGCAGATCAAGTTGTGGTTAATCTTCAAGTTGAGCAATGTGCTTTATTGAAGTACCATGGTCTATGAAAGTGTATGCAACATGAGACACTAGTGGAACCTGATCCACAACCTGATTAGAATGAGCAGAATTATTTTCCTAATCAGGGAAGTTGACAAGAACAGTGACAACAGTTGGTGCTAATAGGTTGCAACTCAGAATTTAGATCATGAATGCAATCATGATTCTGCATCAGATTCTAAATCATAATCTGCAAGGGGAGCCCAATTCCGATGCTTTGTAGCAAAACCAAAAACTGCACCAGCACATGTGTCCACACCAGTATGAGGATCCATATCAGACTGCTTGCCCCCAACATCCCCTTCAAAAACATCAACAAATTTAGGATCAGTGACAATGCCAAAGTTAACCACGGAATCAAAATCTCCCTGTTGTATAATTGGAACAACTGAACTTTTTGCGCAGAAAACAACTTGGTAGCATCAATGTGTTGTACATGATCATCCAAAATATAATTAGTTTTGACTGCTTAAACATGATGATCTAGCTCAGGGGATTGAATATCATGTAAAGGTTCAACAACAAATTATGAGTCAAAATTTGTAGCAGATTTTGGGTCATCAAAGAAAATTATTTTCCTTTGCTTTGCTACAACACTAGGAACAACAACCACCCTTGACCAACACCAACTATGGAGTCAGGATCAACCTTTTATTTATTGTCAATCGCAGCACTATCAGGATTAGATTCTTATTTATTTTAATTTTACAAAAGAAAAAAAAATAGTAGGCTAAATTAGCCCAATAGATTTTAAACCTAAAAATTATTAGCACAATATGACTCAATTCATTTGTTAGGTCTAATCAAATTAACACAATTTTATTTTGGGATACATTTTTTTTCTTCTCAAGATACTATGGTGTTAATTTTTTTTTTCCTCTGATGGACGTAAGTGTTTGATAAAATGTCCCATAAACATTAATTTAAAAATACATTTTTATTAAGTTAACAATTTAGACACTCACATTTATGGTGGCATAAGCATTACAAAGTTTAGTTTAATTATAGTTTATTGTGATTAGTTTAATGAGTTTAGTTTAGTA